CAAAGTACTGTAGCATGTAAATACCATAAGAATTTAGACAATGAAAAGAAAGAGGTATACTGACAGTGTTTGGACAGAATATCCTGTCTGCTTCCTGTACTATGGATAAACACTAAGAAGATAACAATGTACAATGCATTGATTATCAAAACTGTTCTATTAATCAGCTGTGAAACTCTCATTCATATTTATTTCTCAATAAAAATAAATAAATAAAGAATTTACAATACATGTCTTGAACTTCTTATGCATGGGTGTGAGTCGTTTATTACCCTTCTGCTGCAACAGCTCTGGTCTGGACTTCCACATTTCCATCCAGATGCTGCTTACTGCTGCTCTCAGAAGGGACTATTGCTTCCTAACACATCCCTTCAATGACACCCTCAGGGGAACCTCAAGGGATGATACACCAGTGAAGTCCTAACAGCAGAGGTACATACCCTGTGAGTATCAGGTGCCAACAGGCCTTTTTCGTGTCTCTATGAGACATGATAAAAAATTACATCGCTAAAGTGAGCCTGGGGAGAGTCACATGGAGAGAAAAAACATTTTCTCAAGCTTTCACAGAGAGCGCATTGGTCAAGCAATGGCCGTGACTCATCCTCATGTCAGACACTGACAAAAGGATGTACAAAGGGTGGTACAGGGCTACAGGATAAATCCAGAGAGTACTTGGCTGACCTTATCAGATACAAAAGTTACATTTCTTGTTATATAGGTCTTGCTATATCTTGGTCTTAACCGTCCATCAGAAAAGTATAAAAATGAGGTATATAAAGTAAATCCATATTAATACGATGAGCTGTAAAAGGCTCAAGTCAATAACTTCTGAGGATAACCCACTAATATTATAGGCTGCTAGACAGTGTTAGATTGTTTAGTTGAATTCAAACACCTATAGTATTTAGATGCCAATAGAATATTCACCTCTGGCAGGACAAAAAAAAAATTAAATTTAAATTTAAAAAAAAAGATACAAAGGAAAATCATTTTGTATTTATATATACAAAATAGGATAAATTTACAGCTACTTTCGCTTAACTCAATGAGAAGAAAGAGGTTGTGTTTGGACAGGATATCCTGTCTGCTTCTTGTACTATGGATAACCACTAAGAAGATAACAATGTACAGTGTATTGACTATCAAAACTGTCCTATTAACCAGCTGTGAAACTGTCTCATTCATATTTATTTCTCAATAAAAAAATAAATAAATAAAAATTACATGGATAGCTACTGCTGAGTACTATCCAACAGAAAGGCAGGCTCATGAAAGCATCAGGGTGTGTCCTTATCCCCCTTCATCAGTGACCTGGTACCATGTGATTTGTGGCTCTTCCCCAAAGTCTAAATGACCACCAATGCTAAGTGTTTTGAACTTACTCAGGACACTGAGGCAGCCACAACAGCACAGCTAAAGCCACCCAAGAAAGAGGTCTTGTAGATTTGCTTTAGAAAAGGTCAAGAATGACGGCATAAGTGTTGTTGAAGTGAGAGGAAATTTTGAGCAACTTGTCTTTTACTGTACTAGATTTTTAGTATTTAAATATTCACTGGATTCTTTTCACTTCTCATATACCATTAATATCTTAATAACTATGTTTCCAATATGATTGATTTCTCTGTATTATTTTATGCATACAAAATGTCCTGAGGATGATTTCAAATGTGTCACTGGAGTGCTAAAAAGCCTTAAGACATAAAAAGGCTAAGAGCCCTGTGGTATAGAAACTGTGCCAATTAATGCTGCTCAGTAATGAAAGCCATTAGAAACCACTGTCTTTCTTGGTCTCAACAGAGCTTCCTAACTATGTCCAGAGCATTCTCGACCATTGAAAAGGACTATGCACATTTAAGAATTCAACTTCTTTCCTAGTGCCTACTGTGTGTCGTAAGGAACACATTATCTTAACTCTACAGATTTTATATTAAATTTTACAACTCACATTTCTATTTATCAAAAAATTCTTCCAACCACATGATTAAATTTGGGCTCCATGTTTACTACTGCATGGACAGAGGTTATCAAAGGACAATTTACCTAAAAAGCATTCATGGTGCTGCCTAAAAATACAGACATGAGGACTGGCCAGATAGCTCAGCGGATTAAAGCACCTGCTTAGAGAGACATAGGAGTACGGGGGACATAGGTTTGATCTCCCGGCACTTTGCACCGGCCCTGCTGCAAGGGTGCACTGAGGCAGCAATTGAGACTGGGCATGGTGGTACATGCCTGTAATCTCAGTGCTCGGGAGGCGGAAAACAGGAGAATCACTACGGGTCTGATTTGTGTAGTGAGACCCTATAATAAATAAATTAAAAAAAAAATGTGGGCAAAATCCCTACATGTTCTGATTTAGTAAGTCTCTAGTAGATTCAGGAACATTCATTTAAAAAATGAACAAATTTCAAAATCAAACTGAAGAAATACTTCCTTGTGGTTAATACTCTTAGAAGTCATAATTACTCCAATTTCATAATTACTCAAATATTGCTTATAGAATTCCTGAATGCATTTTCCCCCTGCTTGGTATGAAAACTTACAAACTTGCCATCTCCTACCATCCAACTGTCACCTGATCTACTCCTCTTAACTCTCTTCTCGCTTCGAAAATCAGTTGGGGAATATTTTATTTTAGAAATGAATTCAGGTGCCTTAGTCACTTAGTATGTTACCCTTAAATATCTCTTAGCATTAACAATTCAAATTTTTTTTTAAAGTTTTTTAAAAAAACAACACTTACATGTGTACTAATTTATTTAAGGCAATCTTTCCATAGTGTTTTGTTGGGTTTACTTTCATTTAAATTAATGAAAATTAATTCCTTTTATTTGTGTCATACTCAACATCTAATACCACAACCAATTTAAAGATCTACTGTTCACCTAAACTAACTTTTCACACTCCTACAAGCTCTTTTGAGGAAGCAGTAATGACTCATGACCACTAAGAAAGAAAGTATCTTCACCTACCTGCTCATCACCATTGGTGGCATGCCCAGATTGTTTTGTGCCATCACTTTATTTATGCCTTTAAGGGCCACCATTTTGGCTTTCATTATGGGATCTGTAATTGCATCAAAATCTGAAAAGGAAACATATTTTAGGGTTATTTCATCATGCTTGGTTCAATGTACACTAAGTAGTTTAAGTATGGATCCCAAATACAATTTACAAACTCTTACACTTCATTAATCAATAATCATTACAGGTTTTTGTGCTACATCAGGGCATTATGGGATGGTAACAACCTAATCCTGAATTTAACTTCAGCAATTCATAACTGAAGCAGGCTTTAATATTCAGTCTTGCAAGAATGAAAACAAAAGGCTTTATACCCAAACATACACAACGCTAATCAGAATAGTTTCTTTAGCAACAGCAGGAAAACTGGCAGTTGTTCCCAATACCTAGGAATTCCACTAAATTAGTTAGCAGTCTTTATATGAAGCTACCAATTTCTTGAGCTATAACTTCACAAGAAGGGTCCTGAGAGGCTACTAAGAAACTATCTTAGCATATAAATGGCAAAAAAGATCAATACATAGGAGAACATTTACTTCGCTTAGAAGAATGTTTCAAATTTGTCTTCTGTGAATTCCTATGTTCAGAGGTACTGAAGAACTGACTATGGCTTTTGTTGTTTTTAAAATTTGTAAACCAAAAGAATAAAGAGGCTTACATAGAAAAAAAAAAAAAAAAAAAGCCTAGACTTTGCTGTACAGAAAAGGACAGCAAGAACCTTACCTTCTATCACAATTTTCTAAAGTCATCTTTCCTTGACTGAAAATACACAGACAAATGGTTGGCAGACTCAACTAAAATGAAGACTCTAGTTTCTATTACATGAAAACAAATCATGGAATTCAATGAGTTTGAATCTCCTAATTTACCTAGAAGGAATCTAAAACTCTCAGTTTACAGCTCCAGGAGGAACAGAAGTATCTTATTAGTGCTCCATTTCAAAAATACTTTCAAGTAATCAGCTCTGACAAGCATATTAAATGTCACCACCAGGCCAAAGCACTCTACTAGAGACCCAAGGGAATTCCTACCAATATTGGGGAAGAAAGGCTCTGATCGCTGACGAATCATGGCTTGCATCTGTCTTTGTTGCTGCTGTTCTTGCCTTTCTTGATCCAAAAGATCTTGTAGCAGCAGTGGCTGCTCTTCTAGGAGGAGGGGCCGTTCTCTATTCTGCTGTGCTAATGTTTGAGAAGGGATCATCAGCTGTTGGGGTCCAGACAGGCCACTGGTACCAGACTGACTTGTGAGAGGGACATTTTGATTTGTAGGTTTTCCGGTCCCCAAATTGTGGTTCACTGCTGACTGTCCCTGAATGAATCCTGGATTTACCTGCACACCCTGAGAAAAAGTATGGTTTACTCTAGGGACCACTGTGACATTAGAATTCACAGCATTTTCCAAAACAGAGCCAGGTGGTGCCATTAAAGTAGCAGGCAAACTCGATAAACGGCTGGATGGTGAGGCTGGCAGAGTTGATGGGGAAGACTCCAAGGGCTTCTTGTGGGAACTGTCGGATTTTTCACTGGCAAGTAAACTTGAGAGGACTGGAGTTGACCCAGTTATGTCACAAGAGTTCATTACATCTTGAGCAGGCAGTGGAGCAGACCCTTGAATGACACTTGCACTAGGGCCAGCAGTTTCTCTATTAGCTCTTTTCTCAAGTAGGTCTGCATCAGATGGTGGCAAAGAAGCCTTCTCCCCGTCACTGAGTTCTGTGTAAGCAGAAGCCTGAGAGCAGGGAGGGTCAACACTATCTACACTCTCATCACTTTTCTCAGTTTCACATTTGGCTTCCTCTCTAGAATTTGGAGACAGGACTTCTGTTTTTATCTCATTGATAACAGTGGATTTTTTCTGTGACAAATGGTTCTCAGAGAGAACCACAGTTTTTTCTTCTTGGTCTTTTTTGGGGGGTTCAACAGATACACACTGATTATCTAACTTATCATCAATTGGAACATTAAGGTCTAGTTCCTCATTAAACATGCTTTTCTTATCTCCCAGGTCAAGTTCTGGATCTGTATATGCAATGATATCAAATTCCCCTGACCTTAAGAGGTCGTCCAGGTTAGGATCATTGGTTTCCAAATTATCTAAAGTATCCAACTCATCTCCCTTGCCATCCTCCGTGTCTAAATTTAAATTTTCAAGATCTTCATCATCCAAGTCTTTGACTTCAACTCCTTCAAGGTCTTTAACATCCAGTTCTTTCACAGAAGGGTCATCGGAATCAAGTTTTTCTTCTAGACCATCAGAAGACTGGCTGGTTATCTGCAAACTATCAGACGCTGCTTCTGCTGATGCAGATGCTGACAAAGCACCCTCAGAAAACGCACCACCTAAGGAATGACTCATGTGCCTTGTGACCACAGAAGATGTGTGGAGAGGATGCCCTTGCTCTTGCTGAGATGGTGGTACTTGTTCCAAATTTGGATGAATATGGAGCTGACTAGGTAAACCCTGGGGAGGCCGTCTCATGGGGTCTGTATGCCTCGGTCCTGGAAAGTCTGCCCGTGGAACAAAGTTTCCGTGTCTTGGATGAGAAGCTGCCTCTATAACACTGCCAGGAGTTGTAGGGAAGGGCAGCCGTGGCCTTCCATCTGGGGCCCTGTGCCTCAGTTCAATAAATGCTTGGCCCAGTATGTTATGCTGCTGCACTGGCAGGTTTTGTGGTGGAAAGTGCTGAGAAAGTCCAACTGGATTATTCATCTGTGAGCTATTTAAAGGTCTCGGCATTTCTACAGATCTTCTAAGGTGTGGAGGAATTCCAGATCCTTGTATTTGCTGAGGAGGCACAAGGAAGCGATCCTGACCTGACATGGTACCATGACTACTTCCTGGAAATCCAAATCTAAAAACAAGAAGAGTAAACAGTAAAGTATTATGGTGAATTTAGAATAAGGTTGAGAAGAAGAAAGCAAGTTTTAGTTTAGACTATAAATAAAAAATTACAGTTGTCAATTATAAGGACTTAGGTAATAGGAGCAAAGGAACAGCCTTTGGATTCAACTGCCTAAAGCTAAGAACAAAACTAATAGAATTTTGAATAAAAGTACAGTTACTTTTTTCTAAACCTAGGAACTTTATATGGAGCAGGCCAATTGTGTGGAACACAGGCATAAAGGTAAAGAAGGGTGTGCCATAAAAATGTGCACAAAAAGTGCTGGCCAGACAGCGCAGCGGACTAAAGCGCCTGCTGGCCCTGCCCCCAGGGCACACTGAGACAGTGGCGCAGGCCCATAATCCAGCACTTGGGAGGCTAAAATTAGAAGGATCAGTACAAGTCCGATCCACGTAGCAAGACCCTGTACTAAACACATTAAAAGAAAAAAATGTACACAAATAAATCACAGGATAATGATTATTTATGTATCTCATCCTATAATTATGGGCAGCCTACAAAGAAATATGCAATTATACTAATGTAGAAGAAAAAGGGAAAATAAGGGCAAGACTATAATGTAAGAGATACAGGAGTAAGATTAAATCACATACTTAGTAATAAAGAGTATATTATAAAGAATTCTCTTATTATAGTTATAAAGGTTTGGCTTTGATCTTTCTATTAGCCATTTCAAAAAAAGGAAATGTAGTCTTAACAGTGCTAACTTTATAAACTCATCCTGAAAATGTCCTAAAGGGAAACATCCTTTCAATTTGGAATGCTCCACAAATAGTTTACAATTTAAAGAGCAGAATTTTGGGAGAAGTCAAGTTTTCTCACAAGAGGCTTTGCTTGTATGTGGTTACACTTCAGGGAATGAAGTCTGACCCACAGGATAAGCTGCATCAATCACTATGGCAGCAAGGAGCAAAGATGACAACAGCCAAAAGTACATGTTTACAGTACTCAGAGGCAAAAAAAAGTCTACGACCTATCATTAGTAGAAAACAGCATCTGAGGAGGAAGAAGTATAAAACAGCATCAAGTTTTTCATTAATAGTAACCGTCAGTTCTCCCAACAGTTCTTGTGAGTGGCAACTTAATGGGATTTCCTGTGTCTTCCTATTGGACAGCTGTACATGTGCCACAGTGCTTTGGAGCTGCCCCAAAGTGACTCTGACTCCTAGCAGGAAATCAAAGGATTACCTGAACCCGTGAGGTCTCATCCCCATACTAGCAACATCAGGAGGACACGGACCACGCTGATCTTTGGGAAAGATAGTGTATCTAGGTCCAAGAGGAGGGACCACGGGGGATCGGATGTTGCCAGGGTAGGGCGGTGGAGGTCGACCAAAGGCCTGGCTGATGCTCTCCGGCTGCCAGTGTGGAAGGGGCACTGGGTGAGGCACTGCTGGTGTATCCGGAGGCCCCTTTTCCTGTCGATTAGCAATCTTCTTCTGCTGCTGTTGCTGGAGAATGATTTCTCGTAGCTTCTGTCGCTACACAGAAAGAAATAAGTCACTCATTCTGATTACCAGTGGCTTATAAAACCCTAATGAATTCATTATATGGCTATCAGTAATGTTTATAAAATGTCTACACTGTTCAAAATTTGATAAAATAGGGGCCGGGGAGATGGCTCAGCAGAATAAGCGCTTCCCTGGCAAGCGCAAGGGCCTGAGTTCAATCCCCAGTTCCGCCAAAAAAAATTTGATAAAATACTTCTTACATCTAACACATTCACAATGACAGTGGGACTGTAATTCATGCCTCACTTCTGGGCCGCTCTGAACCACTCACTGATGGTGCATGAGTGACTGCCCCATAGTGCGGCATAGGAAACCTCAAAAAGCTATCTAAAGGTTTATGTTGCTGAGACTTGTCAACCACTTGACTAATTATAAAAAAAAAAAAAAAAAGATAATAAAACTAAAAAAAAAAAAAAGTCGCGAACAAAGTCAAGACTAGAATTAGGTAAAGATTAAATCCAAC